ATAATTTAATTAATGATTAGGAATGTAGGCTCGGGAATCTGATACCTGAGGTAAAACCCAAGCTCTTCTACTTAACTCGCCATGACTTTCAGCAAGTTAGTCATTGCCCCTGTTCCCAGGCGTTAACAACAGGAGAAGCAGCAGCGGCAGCAGATTTTTACCAGGGTTGTTGGGAGGATTTAATGAGATCAAACATTAGTACCATACATGATAAGCACTCAACAAATATTAACTATTAATATATTCAAAGGAGAAAGTAATAATGATGAGACATGGAATATCATCATGTAAGAAACAGATGATGTATGATATTGGGGGGAAATGGGGCGGCGGATTGGGGGAGGGGGGTTGTCACTTCGAGGGGTAAAAAGTATAACTATTGCACTGTGTTGTACAGTTGAAACAAATTCTAAAAAATGTGTATTTCATAATAAAAAATAATTTAATAATAAGAAAAAAGAAACAGATATACAGAATTTAGAGGAGAGTGACTCAATTTTCATGGACTCTATAGTCATAGACTTCTTTCTTAATCTACCAAGAAAATAAAGTAAAATACACTCTGGTTCTAAAGATAAAGAACTGTGTGAAAACTACAGCTTCCAATGACAGAATGGGCTTTTCAGAATTAAATATTTACTTAGACATATTATAAGGGAGAGCCAAAGGGTCTTGGTCAAGATATCCTTCAAGCTTCCTTCAAAATTTGAGATTCTAGGGCCAGCCAAGTGGCGTGTTGGTTAAGAGTTGGCTTGAGACACCAGCTCTGAGCAGCAGGACCATGGTTCGGATCCCACATGAGGGCCAGTGACGCTGCGCCCTCTACAGCTAAGACGGTGAACAACAGCTCGACCTGGAGCTGAGCTGCGGTGAGTTGCTGGCCACAGCATAGGCTGCAGTGGGGATGGCCGGTAGCGGGTGTGAGCTTTCGTGAGCTGCCATGAGCCACTGTAAGCGGCTGTCCAATGGCTGGCGAGAGACTGCCTCACCCAGGAAGAGCGCAATGATCATACCAACATGGACCAGTGAAGTGATGTCCTCCACAACTAGACTGAAGAACAAAAGTGACAGCAACTTGTCTGATCCCCTTCCCCAACTCCCCAGCACTGTTCCCCTCCCCCAATTCCCCAATAAAATCTTTAAAAAATAAATTGAGATTCTGTGAAAAGAAAACACTAACCTTAGAAAATCATATGAAGAAATTGGTCCTCTTACTGCAAAAATCTGCTTTAGGTAGAATCAGCCAACAATGTCTAATTGCTTTATCCTAGAAGCCTTAAATTTTCTAAAATTTTCTAAATCTGTAAACTACTAGAATTCTTAATAATAAAATGTTTACAAAGGAAAATATTCAATCTAATGTTCGTTATCTCTAGCTCTTTCAACTGATTTTTTAAATCCCAAACTAATTACCAATGCTGGAAGACTAAAGACCATATATTAAATTGTTCTTCTGTACCTTATTATTGTATGTAGCCCAGTTATAAACAGAGGAGTAAATACCCAGCAAACAGCGATTTTCTGTTTAAACTTAAAGCATACTGTTTAACAAAAATCTCGATATAAATCCAAGAAACTTGTCTTAAGTAACTGCACTTTACTCATATAACCAAAAGCTAGAGAATGAAATTATCAGGGCATTTCATAATTAAAGATATATCTAAGTCCTGAACATTGGCACAAATGATAATAATTTCAATAGATTTACTTATAGATAGATCCTTTAGTAATAAAAAAAAATACTGTTTTGAGAAATGTTCCAGTTTGAGACTGCTGTAAGATTTATCAGTAGTATTCCCACACCAGAAGCATAATCTATGTAGCTTTATTCAAAACAGACTTCATAGGGTTATATACTTTTAGTTATGAGATGAGTTAAGTTCTAAGGATATAATAATGTGCAGCACGGGTGACTATAGTTAATAATACTGTATTGTGTACTTAAAATTTTCTAAGAGGGTAAATATTAAACATTCTCACCAGAAAAAAAAGTAAATAAACTGTGTGAATTGATGAATGTGTTAATTCACTTTATTGTGGTAATCATTTCACAACATATATGTATATCATTAGATTGTATACTTTAAATATATACAATTTTATTTGTCAATTACACTTCAATAAAAAGATTAAATTTCATAAAAATATGCATTCTAGAAAGCTTATAGTATTGTGTACTTGTTGCATGACACTTATTTCTGTATTAGAATAAATGTTTTCTTAATTTCTATGGATAATATGTAAAGAACTATTAGTTCAGTTGGCATAATATATTGATTATATATAATTCAGCCTGTAGATGTCTTTTGTTATTTCTTCCTTATAAGTCAGTTTCTGTTTATGACCCTTGTTCAACAAAAATAAAATTTAAATATTTCTTTAATTTTCAAAAAAATGAGGAACTCTCAATATAATCCTTTTTTAAATTTAAGTCTGTTTGAACTCCTGAAACTTTTTTCTTAAATTAAATTCATTGGGGTGACAATGTTAGTAAAATTACATAGGTTTCAACTGTGCATTTCTATAACACATCATCTATATATCACATTGTACGCTCAACCACCCAGAGTCAGCTCTCTTTCCATCACCATATATTTGACCCCCTTTACCCTCTTCTACCATCCTGAACCTTTTTTTCTTTTTAAATCGCTCTATTTTGAATTAGAAAGATAAGTTTTTTCAGAGTTTTAACAGTAGAACATAAGGCAAAATAATGCATAATTATTTATGCTAACAAATAATTGCATTTTTCTCTCATCTGTTATAGATAGATGAGAGAGAGAGATATCACAATCCCAGATAAATCAAGATATTAACCTTTTTAATTAAGAAGTACAAATTGGTAGTTGCAAAATAGTCATGGGGATGTACAGCATAGCATAGGTAATATAATCAATAATATTGTAATAACTATGTATGGGGTCAGATGGGTGATCATAAGTTTTATAAAGTCTAATTACAATATTGTACACCTGAAACTAATTTAATATTGTATGTCAACTGTAATCGAAAAACAAAAATATATTTTCAAAAAGTTATTAACATTTTAAAGAAATCTTAAGGCCAAATTCTCAGAAGTACAGAGCTCTCTAAAATACAGCCTATAAGTAAAAATCATGCGTTTTTGAGTCAGAATACCTGGAACTGAATTCAGGATACATCAGTTAAGGAAACTTCAGCAAGTTACTTACTTTCTCTAAACCTCACTTTTCCCACCTACAAAGGAGGTTTCACAATTATTTATCCTTATCAAATTCTGATCATTTAGTGACATAAAGCATCTAAATCATTTTGAATTTATACTTGGCAGAGTAAGCATTATGTAATTGTTTTAAATTACTGTTATTATCATTAGTAGTATCTGCTTACTCATAGTCCATTTTATGATAATAGCCCTGGGCAGGCAACAAACCATTTAAAGAACAGAATATCTACCATGGGTTTTTTTGGTGTCATAATTCTCAACAGAGCGTGTTATCCCTACAAAGGGAAAATAATGGAACCCATAGCTTCCATTGACCATAGCCCTTTCCTATGTGACAAGAATGGCTAGCTGGAAGTTGGGATTATAATGTGTGGTCATGTTTCTGATGCTCTACAACTATATGTTCTAGAACTATGGTACAGAACAAATCAACCCAAGACCTATGAGATAGAGACCCATTGAATACTGTTTTCTAAGCCAGTGGTATGCAATTTCAGGGAGAAAAATATTTTGAACATGCACCCTGAAATACAGATAAAATTTATGAATGTGACCTAATATACTGACACAGTACATTAAAAAACATTCTGAAGGAAAGATTAATAGCAAGTTCAAACTGTTCTCCAAACACTCTTCCCCTGGGAACACTGTGGGTTAAGATAAATGGGAAGAGCCAGCTGTTACCAGGCAACACTGTTTATTATTGGTGGAATGCATCTAGACCAGGATGACTGTGAGTGAACCATAAAATCATTTAAGACTCACACACCTCAGCTTCCTATGCTCAGTGTGTTCTTGCAACTGAGGGCATCCCTTGAGGACTGTTACCAAGATACACCAGTATCCTGTGAAGCATGAGCCTTACCCAAGGCAAAGTAGTCCATGTCTATCCATATGGCCTAGTCCTCTTAAAACTGAGTTACACTGGGGATGGGGAGGTGGGAAGGGGGGAAAGGGAGAGGAGGTGGAAGATGGTTCCTGAACAACAAGGACTCCCACTGAAGAAGCACTTGACATCATTCTGTTAACATTCGATGTTTCGTGTCCTGTATTCTTCCACTAAACCAAGTGAATCTGATGCCAGAAAATGGCCTATTGTGTTACATTAGTGTATCAAGAAAAAAACCATAAGGATTTTTTTTTCTCAGCCACACTGAAGCCATGTAGTCAGGTAAGTGTTTAAAAAAAAAAAAAAGAAAAACACCACAAGTCCACTCTGGTGATCATGCAGACATATGCATATACAAAAAGATATCCTTTCCTTCCTCTAACCTAATGGATTATGTCAAGCACTATACGTTTGTTCATTTTTCCCTTTGCGATTTTCTGGTGTTTTTGACAGATCCTTGTCTTTGGTCATTGTAAATCTTTGCCTTTCTCAGTAACTATTATTGCCTCTAGGCCTTTTTAAGCTAAAAACTGGTAACTCCATCATTACAAATTCCACAGCAGCAAGACAAGGAATTCCTGAAAATATAATCACTAAAATACCCTGAAGTCCTTCACTTCTTACTGAATTTCTTTCAGAGGTTATCAGGATATAACTATAGGGAGTTTTAAAAACTACAACACTGTGCAAGAAGTAACATTAGATTTCAATTTTAACATACTTTTTTACTAGTTCCATTAAAACATGCTATGCTAAAAATAAAACTATTTCTTCCATTCATGACACTATCCTCAATTCCAAGTGACCAAATAATTTTACCACTCCCTGTGAAAATTCCTGCAGATGTATCTTACATTACCCCATTTTTAGGCACACATGGTTTTAAAAATATTTTTTATAACTTACCCTGAAACATGCAACATCAGCAGCATGTAGAAGATAAAGAAGAGATTGTGAGTGTACCAGAAGATGTCATAGTTAGAAACTCTGAAAAAGCAAATAACAGCATCAATGTCATTCTACATTTCATCTCACTAAAAAGATCGTGCATCATTTCAAACACATGTCACAAATGAAGGAAATTAAGATGAGTTCATCTGAAATTTATCTATAAATATCAAAGTATTAACATAACATGCAGAAAGAGCCCACAAAATTATAAATAACATTTTATCATTTTGCAGGTTTTTTGCATTTCAAATAAAGATATATGGAAAGAATTAAAATAATGTGTTTATTTTCAAGTTATGGTGTAAGGCTAAGGAGCAGTTATAGTCTGCTAATATGTACTTTTACTGTCCTTTTCATCAATATTCTCATTTTCAAATGATTTCTCAAACAACTAATGTTCCTATTCCAACACATATTTTGAGAGTAGTTGAAAGGAAACTCAATGGAGAGAAATTAAATAAGTGCTCATTAAAGTTTATATTCTTTCCCTGGATAGTGTATACGTTAAAAATAACACCTTGGTGTTATTGTCCGCAGGAGAACAAAGAGTCTGAAAAGGAGGGAGTATGATAAACAATCTACAGAATGAGAGAAGTAAAAGGACTAACAGTTATGTTATTTCATATGTCAGGGTGACTTCATATATTAGAATCTTAGAGGTGGATGGCAGGTATTCATAAAAGTTTTCGATATGCTTCTGATGCAATCCCTAAACCTTTTAGAACCACGGATTTAAGCAATAGCCAATTGTTTCACATTTACTTCATTCACAGTTTTTGCTACTATAAACAAAATCACTAACATCCTTGTTAACATATGCTTTTTTGCACATATCTGATTCTTTTTTAATCTAAATTCCTAGAAGTGGAATTGCTAGACAAAGTGCAACACACTACCATTGCTCTCTGAAAATGTGTTTATCAATTATAAACCCAACTGAAGAATAGGACCACCAGTTTCCCCAAACCTAGACTCTGTAAGTTTTCATTATTTTGTATAAGTGGAATTGGGTATTATTTCCATTGTGTGTTACACACTTAATTTTTCTGTGACTTATCTGTTCATAATAATTACCTATCTCTATAGTGAATTTTTCTTAATGGCTGTGAGTAAACTATTCAAATTTTAAGCATGTACTAGTTCTATATAATTGTAATAATTTGCCAAATAACATATTTATAGTTCAGATTTTATAATGTATATTGTTTTTTACATGCATTTTGATATATTTTTAGATAAATATTTCCTATATTTTTCCTTATCCATTATGAGATCTGATAACTATCCACTTAAAGTTTCTTTTACATTTTTAATGGTGTAACATTTTTACAAAGTTACACCATTAAAGTAACTTTGTAAGTTATCTTGAATTTTATTCACTTAAGCCTTACTTTCCTCATAAGTCTGTGATGGCATCTTTATTATTTAGCAGGTTCTTATATACAGTAAAGTTTCTTAGAAGGCTTTCTATCAATTCTATCATCGGTTCAATGTCTTGGTCATTTTTGCAAGTAAGTTCTATGGTGTTCTCAGTTACAGAAACTTAATCATTTTAATGTTTAGCAAGCCACATCCTTTTCTAACTTTTCTTTTGGACATGAACTTGGATGTCCACTCAGGTGAAATGTAAAATTGCTTTGCTAAACTCAGTAGACAAACAAACAGAATAACCTATCTTGGATTTTGAATGAAATTGCAGCAAATAAAAATAATTGAGGAAGAACTCCATCATTGCAATATACAGTCTTTATTCAAATCTTCACTTATTTCTCTCAGTGAAATTATGGGGGTTTTTTATTTATGGGGAAATTTATGGGGTAAGTTTATTCCTAGATATTTTATCTTTCTGTTCTTTCAAACTGATTATAGCTATTATGTAAAAGAGCTATTTTTAATATTTTTTGTACTCAGTTACCTATTTCAACTCTTTTATTTGATATAACACTAAATTTTTCCATAATTCTCTTGGGTTTTCTGGAATTAATGCTGAATTGTTGTTGCATTCTTTTCAATAATTCTAAATGTTTCACTTCTTACCATATGTAAATAATGGTATGCTTTCATGGAATTAAAAATATTACTTTTGCTTTTTCATAATTTTCTTAGGAATTCATCTCATGGTTCACAGGTAAGTATAATCTCAGTTCTGGCTGTTATAATTTTTAATTCTATAAAGAAAATTAATTCCTAGTTTACTCTGGTTATTTTAACCCACATATTAGAGTTTAGATTTAACTGCTGTTTTAAAGTCTATTGAGATGAAAATGTATTTATATTTTTGTCATCTCTTATTAGGATATATTACTTATTTTAATAGAATGACCCATGTTGAACCATCAGTGAATTAATAGACTACATTCAACTATTAGAAATCAAATATTGGAGTAATATTTATTTACCTAATGTTTCTAATGCTTTATTTCCTGACTGGTAAAGAGAAAGGGTAGAAGATTATCTCCATGGGCCACTTAAGAATTTCATGATTCTCAAAATAAAGCTTGGGAAAAAAAAAGAGTTAGTTTTATAATCTTTTTTAAACAAATAAAAAAAAACAACTAAAGATTAAGACATGTTCACCAAATTATTTATGAGCACAAATGTGATGGCTCAGTTGATCTCTATATTCAATTTTACAAAACTATCTCTCAATTAAGGATTTTTTCCTTGATGTAGAACATTTATATGTATTCAGTCTTGTGAATAAGTATGTTAGATGTCCTGATTTTACTTCAAGAACTCCTAAAACTGAAAAAGTAAGTTTTATTAATGAATGTTTGACCTAACTAAAATAAAATTTCTCCCCACAAAATTGACACCCTTATGCACTAATGTTAGAGATTTACCTTTTTGTAAAGTGATTTTGAATTCTTATGAAAAGTCTTAAAAGTGTGCTTACCATTTGACCAAGCTATTCTATATCTAGGTATTTTTCCTTAGGATATAATCGAAAAAGTTTGCAAAGACACATGGGTGGGGTGTTTGTTTCACAATTGAAATACTAAAAAAAAAAGTAATCAACCTAAAACATCCGACAATGGAGGACTGGTAGAATAATATTTATCTATATGGTGATATGCTATGCCATCAACAGACAATGAGAGAGAAATCTTTATTAATGTGCAAAAATGTACATAACAAGATTTAAGTAAGAAGCAGGGTTGTTTTTTTATTTTTAGTTTCAGGTGTACAGAACAATGCAATAGTTATCCTTGTCACCCCTCACAAAGTAACCCAAGAATCAGATTTTTTAAAGTATGTATAATATGGTCCTATTTTAGTAAAATATGTAGATATATGAAGAGAGAGAGAGACTAGGAGTGTGAAAGGGAAACAGTGATTTTGGTGGAGTCAAGAGATGGTGAATGAGCGAGAAAAAGAAAGATAGAAAGTCTATAAACACAAACACCAAAAAGTTTATAGTGTTAATCTCTGAATGGTGAATTTACTTGTGAGGTTTTGAGGTATGTGCATGTGTGCATAGGTGTGTTGAAAAGTGCAAGGATAGATTCATTTGCGTATGCTGTAGGGCACCTATTTTCAAAGTGTGTGTGTGTGTGTGTGTGTGTGTGTTTCTATTAAATTTCACATCTCAACAAGTAGAATGACTGAGGATTTTTGAAGATCATATATTGTTTCTTCTTTTTGCTTTCTTAACCAAGAAGTTTGCCCAGTAACATAAGACACTGTAAAATGTTGTAAACAACAGAATATATCCATCAGAAAGGACATGTGAAAGTGCTCATAAAATTGTATATCTGAAATTGCTCAAGCACTCGTAACTAGAAGAATAAATGTGAATGCAGATATTTTTTATTATTTTAGCAGATGTCCACTGACCATGTTTCCAGAGCTTTGTTTAGAATACTACATTGTCACAGCACAACAAACTCACATCAGGAACTATGTTACACAATAATTGTAAGTAATATATTCTTGTGCACTTGCACTGAATTCAATCCCATGTCTCATAGAGAGACACTATCCTTCAGAAGGAAGACCCTGAAGAACTCAAATTTCCACAGTTCAAAAAGTCTTCATACACAATTCCTTACCAATATAGAATATTTTACTAAAACGAAGAGATTTTTCAAAAACAGTAAATTATATACAGTAATGTCTCTACTTCACTCTTAGTTACCCAGAATAGTCCAATAACTAGAACATTGCATTGGCTAAGCATTTTGGTGAATCAAAATTTTTTGGTACATATAAAAATGAAGATAATCTAAAGAAAATCTAAATAATCGGACCACTAAACATCAAAATCATGAATCTAACACTCACCGTATTGCATATGTAGAAGCTGTAATCATCAGGAATAGCACGAATACCATGCAGACCCCAGTCAGACCAGGAACTATAAAAATGTACATAAGTACATTTTAACTTAAGTCATACTGAGAAATAAAGTACAAAAAATTACTGCCTTACAATCCAAAGTATTATGCTGCTCCATGGGAAGCCCAATTCAAATCATACATCTACTTGTATATTCTCTCTCAAAAAAGCTTTTTTTTAAAAAAAATTAGCACAATTTCAAGGTACTGAAGACAAGGCAGAACAAAAGAGTTTGTTTTTATATTTTCAAATATTCCACTCAGAATGGTGAATATGTACATACTTCTACAGGTATATGCTATAACAAATGTCAGTAATTAATACATGGGACAGAGTTGATATTCAACATCCTCACTGTTTTGGTTTTCTCTACTATGGTACTAAACTCTCTTACTCTCTCTTCCCCCTTTTTATGGAACTAGTAGTTCTTTCTGTTTTAATTTCAAATAATTTATTTTGGGCTTCATTATCTAGAATAATTTTAAAGAAAAAAATAAACAAAATCTAAAGCTTTCTAAAAACCACAACTTCAAGTATAGAACAAAGATAGTGGATTTCAAGGAAAAAAAGTTACAGTATAAGAACACTTGCAGACATATTTCCTCTCAGTATGGAAAACAGACTGAAATCAATGCTGCTGATATGACGCAATGTTCATTTTTTAAAAAAAGAAAAAAATGTGCAATCATTAGTTTTCATAATTATTACTGATGTGATAGATTGCTGCAAATCCAGAGTTAGCCCATAAAGCATGTCTAAAATGAATAGTTGATATTATCAAAAAGAGCTAAAATCAAAAGTCTCATTTCTTATTAGCTTTTTGCTACCAAATAAAACATCCTGTCTATAAGTACCTTTATTTACTCTTACAGTCATACAAATAACAGTAAATCGTAAATGTCCTCGCTGAGAGATTCCATCTTAATAATTCACAGAAAAGTTAATGAAACAATTTAGTCTCCAAAAGTATAGACATCCCACTTTTCTTGTCAAGGAACTACCTATGAAACAGAAGCACTATCGGGGACTGCAAGCCACCAGCAGAAGCAGATACACTGGGTATGATATAAGAGCAATATAGGTGTGCATCATTAGGATGCCTGATAGTTGAGAATCGTTGGAAAATAACATTAGAAATCTCAGTAAAGTAGAAACAAGTTTCTACTTGTAAATGGCCACATGAGAATTAAGGGAGCTAGTCTTTGAATACTTAATACTTGAATACTCTTTCCTCCTCACTCTTCCCAATACACAGATTTGGAAGCCTAACAACACTTGCCTTTCCCTGATGGGTCTAATCCAAACCATCTCTTCTCTACACCTCTTCCTCAGGGTACTCCCTTTCCTATCATCTTTCCCATTGTCCCACCTGAGTACTTCCTAGGGGTAAGAGAAGAGCAAGAAAACTACACCAGTTTACAGAAAAAACTACTTAAAAGGAACATACCTACAAAATGACACAGTCTTTTCACACCCAAGCTATTTACCCAAAAGAAGCACAAACATATATCCATACAAAGATGTGTTCAAAAATTTCATAGCCTCTTTATTTGTAATAGTTAAGGCCTGCAAACAACTCAAATCTCTAACAACAGATGAATAGATAAACAACTGTGGTATTATCACCCCCTCAAAAACCAAAAAGTATAAGATCTATGATTCTTTTTATATAACATTCTAGAAAAATCAAACCAGTCTTTAGTGATAGAAAACAGATCAGCTGCTAGGAGGGGTAAAGAATAGGATGCATTATAAAAGGATATAAAAAATTCTTTAGAATGATAGATATATTTATTATCTTGATTTTGATCATGGTTTCACGTGTATACATATGTCAAAACCAATCGAACAGCATAATTTACATAGGTTAGTTTAGTATTCTTCAATTATAACTCAATACATTTGAAGAAGAAAAAAGAGGAGGTCTGACTCTCTGGCTTCAAGTAATTAAAAAAAAAACCAAAAAAACTTCTTTATTTGACAAAATGAATAAATAAATGATAGAATCCCAGATGGCTCCATAACGGAAAATTTGTGGTTGGAGGCCTTTGTAACAATTTTATTGGAGCTTCATTAATGTCCACTGTGTCTATATACAAAGTTTCCTATGTGGTTCTAAATATGCCAAGATTAGTTATGGAATGTTTGCAAATCACTTCATCAGAAGGACACCTGAAAAAAAACTGAGGATGTTTAGAATGGAGGCATGATTTCCAAAGTTCATTATTTGAATATTAATTTCTTAAGATATTAATTTCTATTACTCAAAGATGCTGTAACCATTCCTTGAGGAGTCACGGGGTGCATTAGTGTATTACAGTCTCTGAGAAGTACAAAAATCAAGAAGCCAGTTTAAATTTGAACAGATATTTCCTCAAACATTTAACTAAAGAGCATAGCATGGAAAACATATTGGAAAGTCTTAGAGGGGGTAAAATACCGGTAGTTGACTTCAGCCATTTGAAGATGAAGTAGAAGGCCCAGACAACTTGACTAATGGTATGTTTATTCTGGCATTATGATCCTGTTATTACTGTCCCTTAGGCCAAACCCCAATCTCACTGAATCTTGTCTATAAACTGAGGAGAATCAATTCAATGCTTTTTGATATTCTTTCAGATTTATGAAGGTTTTTTTTATGTAAAGAATTCATATTTTCTTTGCTGTCTCCTAGAACAGGGGTCAGCAAACTGCGGCACACGAGCCACATGCGGCTCTTTAACTATGTAAATGTGACTCTGAAGTAAAATTGAAAATGAAAATAAAACTATCATAGTTTCATTTATAAAATTTTTTAAAGATATTATTCACATAATGGTGATTTCATTTGTTTTATGGCTTTCGAATAATTTTTAAATTGTTGTGAGGGACAGGGTTGGCTCTTCTGTCTCAAAAGTTTGCTGACCCCTGTCCTAGAAGTATAAAAAGACCAGAGTTTATAATTTACAGTGTAATAATAGACTTTAGATCAGTGAGAAAGAAAAACTTACTTATAATTAGCAATGAAAAATATATATATTACAATTAGAGTGGTCCGAAAGAAGGAGTGGAGTGATACCTTAAGAGGTTATGATTTTCTGTCGCTGGAATTAAACAGAGGATGGCCAACCAATTATCTGGGATATTGTGGAGAAGGTCTATGCATAAAGTAGCACAGTTTAAACAAATGGCTTTTTTCCATTCAATGAATATTTTCTGTGCATCTGTAGTGTGCTGCTAAGGGCTAGAGAAAAAGTGAATCCTGCTCTACAAGAGATTCCAGTCTAGTGTGAGAGACAGGATAAGCAAGTGATTGCAACATAGGGCATTATGTGCTAAAAGAGAGGTAAGCATCAAGTATTTTTGAGGTACATCAAAGGGTACCCTAATCTAGATTTAAATGACAGCCTAGCTAAAGCCTAATATATTAGCCTCTATTCCTACATGTATTCCAGCAGTCAGGAAGCACAGGTTGGAAATCAATGGGCTAACCTAACCTCACTGGGCAAAGTTACTGGCCACAGTGAAGTACACTGTGAACTCTTTGAGTCCTTCAAGTTATGAGGCAAAACCTATACTTGTTTCCTTAGGAAAAAACATGCATGAATGTTTATTCTTATTGCTTTTCTTTAATTAGTAGCCTTTAAAATGAATGATTTCATCATACTGCCATTTCTAGATATAACTGAGAGATCATTTTCATCCTTACCCAGATGTGGTCAGAAATACCATATTGTATTCATTATCTTGTTTTTTTCCAACATAACTGGAAACATAATTGTATTTGTTTATGAGGGTTTTTCTAATAGAAATGGGATATTGTGCATTTTATTCTCATCATACAAGGCATTACCAAATTTGGTGATATGTAGTAAGCATTTTTAAATGACTGTTTGAATAATCCAATCTTTTAAACTTATTTTATTGTCTAAATTCTTAATTGGAATGTTTTTAACATTTCTTATTTAGTAAGTTTTTAACGATCATATTTTATGTAATGTATACTGTCACAAGCTATATTTCTTATAAGACAATTTAATTTCTCAGAGTTAGGTTAGAGTAAAAAAAATTTTAAGACAAAGAAAGAGAAGGCTATGTAACACTAAACAAACTATAAACTCCAAGAAACATCACATAATGAAAAACAAAATTCTTTATCACTAGGACAGCTGAAAATATGCATGCATTCCTTCATCGGGACCTTGATTTTTTTCCTAGAAGCTATGTCTGACAACATTCAGATATAGCTATGAAACTGATTTGGTCAGAGATGTATTAGCAATACAAAGCTAGATGAAGTCCATTTGTAGAACACAGTGTCACTTATCCCATTACCATCCTTAGATTCTGCCTTGTTCTGGCACCTACTGCTATTCAGTGGGGTCAATCAGATATTAGGAGCTCTAGACTCATAGTTAGGGGGCCCCACATGACAGGCTGATGACCTGGGAAGTGGATGGGTCCTGCCGACTATCACAGCATTTCTTTCATGATACGATGTAGACTGGGCCACCAAAATGGTGCTGCCATTCTGATTTGGGAAGATACAAGTTGTTTGTATTGACAGAAACTCCACAAAAAATATCTGCCAAGGTCTCTGCATGCCCTCGGGGCAGCCCTGCCCCAGCCTGGAGAAGCTCACCTTCAAGTGGAAAAGACAGTATATTTAAGGAAACATATTATTTTACAACAGAGTACTTTCCTGTGTGTCTTTAGGCCAGCTCTGTCTAGTGGAATTAGAGAGAAATTTATGCGTGATGGAGCACGCCTGCTAAGACTTAAAGGATGAGCAGGAGTCAGCCAGGTAGAAAAAAAAAAAGACAATAAGGAAAGAGAAAAGGCAAAATATAGGTGTTGGTGAGAAGTTATGCTCAAGAGTACACGAGATGCTCAGTAAGGGTAAAACAGAGCTCCCAAGGTACACAGGAAGGTTAATAAAACACATTGCCAGGTCCCACCCGCAGAGAATGTCTAGGATAGAGCCAGGAAAGTTGTGTTTTTAAGTATTGTCTCTACTTAGTTCAACATCACTCATGTGAACTTCAGAGAAAGAACAAATGGTGATGGGGTTTCCTGCTTAGGTGATGAGATCACCTGTTCATATAGAAGTATTAATTATACTAAGTTTCTTAATGTAATATCTTGGCCATATAAGAAATATTTTTTATATCTTTGTAAACTAAACTTCTTTAGACATTTCACATGTTCCAAGGCTCCAACTATTCTTTGTGTTGTATAAAATAATATTAAAACAAAGTTCTTAATTATCCCTTAAATTAATTCATATGAACCAAAAAAATACACTGATTCATACATAAGGTTCTGGTTTTCTGCTTTTTCTCCCTTCTATTTCTCATCCAATTCTTAAAGCTTAAATAAAACCATGTTTTCAATGAGCAAAGTTGTAAACAAAACTAAACTGTGTTCCTAAAGAGAAAACGGTGAAGTGCTTTGCAAGTGGCAAATATCATAAGGCAGAAACAAAATGTATTTTATAAGGTAAACATATAGCTGTGACATGGATAGAGAAAACACCTGAATTCTTGTTATTTTTCATCATAAAATGATTGAAAAGAAAAACAATGCATTTAACAGGGCCAAGCCTCAGTCCCATATGCAATTCTGCTCCTTAATAGGATGGTACAGCCAAGCCCCTACAATGGACCATCTCAACTACCCAATTGTCCTTGTCCCTGATATATGTGCTAAAATCCCCCAAATACAGTTTTCTCCTTTCATCAGTATAAATGTAAGGTTGAAAAAGAGAAGAATTTAGTAAGAATTATACTAACATCAGGGCAAAATTTTGCGATATCCAAACGTGCTTTAACAAATTAATAGTCTAGACTCAGGTTTCATGCTTGAGAAGGTAAATTACAATTAAAAAAGGAGACACATTTTAAGAAAAATAACTGATTTTAATGACTGTTTCTACTCTTTTTTATAGGTATTAAGACCATAAAAAATTCTACTAAATTCCTGAATTATAAGAAGTACATTTATACTCAGAGTACTTGGTGTTTCTCTCCAAAACCCTGAGGGCAGGAACCCATTCCACATGCATTATCTCCAGTAGTTCTTGCAATAGCAGTGTGTACAAAGCAGGTCCCCAACAAGCATACAGCATTATATTGGTTTAATTGGGAAAACATATGAAAGACACATGCATTTACTTACTTTTACTCTTCATTCGAACCCCAACTGTTTACCTTGTGCCTCTGTTTTCATTGCAGCTTTAAGCTTGAACTCCTTATATTTATTCTGATACGCAAATTTTTTCACATGCTATATTTTAACATATATCTAATGGCTATGTCATTTAATGATGTTTACTTTCAAAGATTTTACTGAATCTTAAGAAAAAACAATGAATAACCACTTACCAGTTGTAAAGAGAAGTTTCCTAGGATCCTAAGAAAAAGGGAAAACAATTTTGACTGAAAGGTAAAACATTGATAATATAAAATTGTACAAGGAATCTGCTGGGTATAAGATCCATGTATTAGGCATTTAAAATACTATTCTCCCAATGGAAATAAGACTCAGTTAAGTTTTGTAATATTTCATGATACTAAAGGGTATTAAAACAAGTACAAAATCCAACTCAGAGAAGTCTGTTCATCTCAGAAAGGAAGAGCACTGGATAGGGAGTCAAAGGGCACAGGCTTTCATCTTAAAGGCTGATTACAAGCCAGTGGTAGTGGCCTGAAGCCCACCCTTTGACCATATTAAAACTCAATGTTTTTTGTATTTTTTTTTGGGGGGGGGGGGCTGGCCGAGTGGCTCAGTTGGTTAAGAGCTCGCTCAAGAGTTTGAGCTCTGAGCAACAGTGGTTTGATTCCTGGCCCAAGCTGAGCAGCCGCTGAGCTGCCAACAGGTGGCAGGATGGCTCAGCTTTAAAAAAAACAAAAAAAAAACTCAATGTTTTTTACTATAATGAGGAAACATTAATATATACTTTGTCTGCCACAATTGCCAACTGCATGTAGCATGTGTCAACACAGTGGGAATCAAAGGTGATAAAATATGTAGGAAGGGTTGTAAACTATAAATTCAATGCAAAGAATACCTACTGAGAACTTGCACTGTTTCAAATACAGTGACAAGTAATGATGATACATAAGGAGGAGAGGTTCCTGTTACTCAGAAATATAAAATACTAACATTGTTAGTGCAATATTGTCTTTAAACTACATCTCTCATGGTATCTTGGATCTCAGTCAACTCCTTTTCTATCGTCTGGAAAACTCAGATTAATCCCTAGTAAATTTATGAATTTATTTTTCATCATAATGGCACTTAATATTGCACAACTTTTAAATTTATTTCCTTATGTCTCCATTGAATCTGGGATCAGCCCAGACTATCTACAAAGTAGGAAGCCATTTATATGACACAGTTTCAGGGGCCCTGAATAAGGACCACTTTCCCAAAAATATCTCCTCATCCAGCTTAGGTCAAATGACTTCTATACCTGGGAGTAGAAACACGGCTAAAGGTAACCTAGAGTAACCTAATATATAAACAACTATTGGGTTGTCGGAAAAGTCATGACATATTTTGTCTATGTTTTTCAAAGGTCGTTTATTTATATAAAGTACAAAGTTCAATCAATGCTATATTGCCCATTTTGTTCGATAACCTTTTGCCATCTTTCAGTGAGCTTCATAATTGCTCATTCATAGAAGGACTGGTCTTTATTTGCGAAAAACTGAACAAGGGGCTGATTTACAGCCTCATCTGAATTGAACGTTATACCACACAAGGAGTTTTGAAGAAAGCAAAACAAGCGGAAGTCTGAGGCACAAGGTCAGGCGAGTATAGTGGGTGTAGCAACACATCCCATCCAAGTCCCAATAATTTTTGACAGGTGATCAAACTGGTGTGTGGTCTCGTGTTGTCGCAATGGAACACAACTCTTTTACAAGTAACAAGCTCTGGATGTTTCTGGATGACGGATTCGTTCAAACTGTCCAATTTCAGACAGTACACATTTGAATTGATTGTTTGGTTCCTTGGTAGGAGCTTGAAAAACATGACACCTTTAAAATCCCACCACACTGAGAGCATAACCTTCCTCTGATGTCTGCTTTCGAGGTCCTTTGAGGCGAATCATCACGTCGGAACCAAGATGTTTATATGTGCTATCCAATGAACTTCTTTGAGTTCATGTGGAATCCAAATATAGAGCTTGCTTACGTATCCCAGCTTCTTCAGGTGGTCATGACACTTGAATGATGACTGTTCAATGTTCTGCAATCTCACATGTCATGTAATGTGGGTTTGACTTGATCAGTGCCTTTATTTTGTCATCATCAACCTCGGTGGGTCTCCCTGACCAAGGAGCATTGGTGAGATCAAAATCACCAGCACGGAATTTTGTGAACCATCTTTGGCACTGACATTCTTGTAGAGCATTGTCACCGTAAACTTTATGCAACTTTTCACAAGCTTGACGCATGTTCTTCCCTTTATGGAAGTAAAACAGTAAATATGGCAAAAATGCACAGTTTTGTCTTCCACCTCAAGTTGTTGTAAAATCAAAACTCAACCAAATTGCTCAATTTTTTTTAGAATGAAGCTAGAACTGTCAGCTGTCAAATGACATAGCAATAACATAGATGTGAATGACTCTAGTGCTTCCAAAAATGAACTAGTGCCATCTGTTGCAGACATGCGTCGTGACTTTTCCGAAGACCCAATATTAAAAAAGAGGAAATTGCATAGCAAGAGTAGAAAACAAGTAACCCCATGTGATATGGGCAGAGGAGGGTAGAGAAATGAATATAAGTAGTGGCACACAGGGAGAAGGGGTGGCTCAGGTCCAAAATCATTACAGAAGAGCTCTCATTGGTGTGCTAAGGAGCTGGACTGTTCAGTGATCCTCAACGCTGGATGCATGCTACTACCATCACTCAGTGAGCTTTTTAAAAATCACAATGCCTGGTCCCAACCCAGATCAATTAAATCATATTAGTGGTTTTAAAAACACTAGTATAGTCCAAAGAGTTATCAAAGGTCGCTTGCTATTTGGGTTTTCTACTTTGCTTCTGTGTTTGTTGTTACCGCTTTTTGTTTTGTTCTGTTTTGGGAGAGAAGTCAAACGCATGATCACAGTAGTATTGATCTAGATAAGTCTGGTGATATATGGAGGGGAAAAGGGAATGCCGGGAGATGGGGAAAAGTCTTATTAAGTCACTACCAGACTTAGCAGAACAGGGCAATTTTCTGATCAAATGGGCCACCGAGCAGTTGGGTTTTAATGCAGTCTTGGCGTGAAGCAAGGGCAGCAGCCTGAGGCCAGGATGAAAATCCTGAGTTGCAGAGGCCTAACCAGGGTTCTGCTTCTGCTGCTCCTCACACTCTGGCCTGGCATCCTGCACATACAGTTTCATTTCATGGGTAGCTTCACGTGGAGACAAGCACCCCTAAGACAGATATTGCCTGCTACAGAATTCAGCTCAAGGTCACCCACCATTTGGAGGATTACAAAACCAAACCAATCAAAACAAATGAACCATTAAAACTCAGTACTATTTTTTAAGTCCAGTAAACTGAATATCCAGGATCCTCCAATTATCAACCTGCTTTTCTGCCCTGTTTCCCCCAAGCACCATGTCTGAGTGACTAAAGGAGTTTTACCCTGGAATGGCACTGTTGACAGTCTCCACTGCATGACAGGAATCAGACAAAAGATGTTGGCAGGCAGAAGGCAAGCCTGAGTGGCAACCATCTGAACATTGCAGAATATAAAAAGTAGACACTCTCCAAACTCCCATTTTCAGCAAGAGAGGCTGTGAAACAGCAATTACCTATATTTCCTATTGAAAAGGAATAAAGCCCAACTTGACAACTGCATTTCAAAAGCACTCAAAAAGAGCAGCAAGGTACAAATTTTCTGTGAAAATCACAGACCCTCATTAGTCAGCTCATGACAAGTAAAAGGAAAAGGAGGAGACAGGCCACCCACCTCATTCCGGTATCTTGCTGCATTCAGTTCAACGAACTCCTCACTGTAGTTCACCGAGAAGTTGAGGGCATTTACCAGATGGGCAGCCACGTGCACACCTACAGAACCAACCACAGCAGGTTCACGTCAGTGGGATATTCAGAGATGTTCTATGAAGAAGAGTCAGTTCCCCTCCTTAAGTAAATCCAGGGCAAACTTTGACAGCTGTATGAGCCATAAGATATTAAATTAAAAAGGGAAGTTTTAAAGGCATGAGACATCTTAATTATAGACAGTTTTAGTATTAAAAATTGAGTAAAGAAACCAGATTTTCAAAGGTTAGAATAAAATAACCCTAGAAAGTCAGGGTTAGAAAAAAACAAAAAAATACACACGTGTGTGTGCACACACATGTTCACATGCAAATGAATAATTATAGGGATATGTACTGTATTTCCCCATGTATAAGACGCACCCTTTTTCGAAAAATTTGGGGTCTAAAAACTGGGTGCGTCTTATACAGTG